TTAAGAGCATACAGCTTACATGGATAAAATAGGATTGTCATAAAACTTTGAAGAAAGATGAGTATAAAAAAAAGTTAGACGTGAAAGAAATTTGGGATAAGGACACTAGAATTGCCATAATTTTTATACGATGCTCACTTGAGTGTTATAACTTTTTTTTTACCACTTAAATACTATAACTTAAAAAAAAAAAGGTTTGCTTGAGTGTCACAACTTTCAATCGATCACTTAAGTGCCAATTTTTTTAAAAAAAATGTTCATTCAAGTTCCGGAAATCAGACGTGACATGGCACTTGTGGTGAACGTTTTTGAAGAATTATGTCACTCAAGTGATCGATTGAAAAGTTAAATGACACTTAAGTGATCGAATAAATAGTTATGGCACTTAAGTGAGCGTCGTACGAAAGTTGTAGCACTTGTGATGTTCTTACCCTGTGAAATTTATACAAGAGTTTCAATTATCTTCATGTAGGTTTCGGCCAACTCACTTCGCGAATCATGGAAGGTCAAAATGGTCAATGAAGACGAAATGGGACGGACCGATAATCATGCAAGTTGAGGATAAAAAAAGACCTAGTTTTACATGCACTCGATGTATGTTCGTGTGAATCCATTTTAATTCAGTCATTAGGGTACGTGAGCATCACAAGAGACCTATAATATTTAATGATCGAGATAAAGTGGGCTCTTATGCTCTATATGGATATGAGAATTTTCGCAGAAGAAAAACAATCAAAGCAAATAAAGGAGAGATGTAGTGGAAGTTTCCGCTTGAATTGAGTCCCAAATTTCACGCGTAAAATTTGTCGTTGTCCAGATTTCTAAAAGTAGCAAGTCAAATCCTGTCCTTTAATATTTCATTAAATCATTTCCCACACGAGACTTCTCGAGTCAATTCACAGTCTTTTAATACTAATATAAGTCCCCTTCAAGTCTCTTTGCTCGGAAGATAGCCTTGCTTTCACAACGAAAAGTCATCCTCGGACCCAGAAGAAAAGTCAATTACGTGTCCACTTCGCCAAAGCAAGCATTGACGAAATACCTTTCTAGATAAAGTAAATTGACAAAGGGTGTGAATGAGTACTATATTAATTTTTGGACACTAAACGTAAACGACGAGAAACTTAAAAGTATTGAGATCGGAAATAATTGTTACAAACATTGTAAAAGGTATTAGAATGTAAAGATAAATCGGAAGATAAAAGTGAACAATTTGTGTTTTATGATTGATTGGTGATAGCTTCAACAAAAGAATAATTATACAAATGATGCTTGAACTTTGACTCAATGTACAATATCATTCCTGAAGGTTTAATTTGTTTAATGTGACCCCTAAACTTTTGATGAAAGTTCAGCCTAGTCCTCAGACTAAATGAAAATATCCAATGATATCCTTCCATTGATTCAAATTAATGGAATTTGTTCATTTGGCTTCTAGTCTAGTAAGTTTGAACGGTGGATAAAAAAATAATGTTATACATAGTTTAATTCACGCAAGATATTCACTCAACTCTGGATATAATAATCCATATCATTGAGTAACATGGATAATAATTTTTCCAAATTGAATAAATTAAACAAATTAAAAGGATTATCGCATTCTAATTTGAGTTAAATTCTTATGTGAATAATTCGCTTGTAACGTTATTTTTGTCCACTGGTCAAACTTATCGACTTAGAAGCCAAATCAGCAAATTCCCTCAACTAGAATTAATAGAAGGGTAATATTCGATATTTCCATATAGTTTAGGAGCTAGATTGTACATTTACCAAAAGTTCAGGGATCACATTATCCACCGTTCAAACATATCGAATTAGAAGTGTAGTCTAGTAAACTAGATTGAACATTTATCAAAAGTTTAGGAATCGTATTAAATAAATTATAGTTTCATTGACCACATTGCATATTAAGTTAAAATTCAAGAATCGCATTGAATGAATTAAAAAATTCAAGGATGACATTGCATATTTGATCAAAATTTAAGAACCATTCGTGTCATTATCCCTTCTGCAAAATACAATTTAAGTATTTATACCTGTATCAACGATAAACAAACGGTTACAAAGAAATGAAAACATTCTATATGGCTCTTACAATCCAACAATACTTATCTACAAATGGCTACCAAGAAATGACTCCAATACTCAAAAATTGTATCTTCTCCACTTCTTCACAATTGCCATTTTCAATTGCTATCATACTCTTCGGTTCCACTACTTGACAGTTGCATCGGATTTACTTCTTCACGATTGCCATTATCAGTTGCTCCCGAACTCTCCGGCTCCATTACTTGGACAGTTATTGCATTTCCCCTCCGTCACGGGTCCGTCAATCGAGGCTCTTTTGTCGGTTAAATCAATCTCCATTTGTTGACGTTTCGCTTCAAGACTTGTTTATTTCCACTCATGTCCTCCGTCGACTAAAATTAATATTCTTATCAACCGAGTGGATTAATCAACTAGAAGCTCTCAACACTTAGCAAATTTTGCCTCTGTCGCTTCTCACTCGGTCTTTGTCAACCGAATCGTCCTTCAAGGGCTTGGACATTTTTTTGTGTCAACAGTGTCATTTAGTAGTGAAATTATATTTGATGAAAATGTATCTGGTTATTAAAGAAAAGGAAAAAAAAAAAGCCAAAAAGAGTGGTCGGTACGCGGTAGCTAGCTACGTGATGATGGGGTCGCTTACATATACGCGGCTTTTCTTGGTTCTCTATTATAAAGAGATTGCATGGTGAATTCGTCGAAGTCATAATTGAGTGACTCAGAAAATGGATAGCAAGAAAACCCTTCATCTTCTTACACTCATTTTCTCTCTTCTCATGATTGAAAAATCAATGGCGTCCCAAATTCCTCCTGGTACTCTCTCTCTCTCTCTCTCTCTCTCTCTCTCTCTCTCTCTCTCTCTCTCTCTCTCTCTCTCTCTCTCTCTCTCTCTCTCTCTCTCTCTCTCTCTCTCCTGTTATTTTCCATTTTAGATAATTAGATTCATTACAATTTGATTTTCTTAGGCGTAAGATTTTTTGTCTTTCGGATTCATTACAATTGTCTCCCGGATGTGACACGATCGATCGATCCTTCTCGCCCATGCAGACAACGACAACAGTAGGATCCGCATGAATGATAGCGTGGCGAACAGGGATGGCTCTTGGAACGGCAACAGTTCGGACCAGGGGACGCTCCTGGTGCCTCCGCCCTCGACAAAGACCGCTATCGCTGTCTCGACCGCCGTTTCTCCTACAAGCGCCACTTCGATGACCAGTGTCAACAGCAGTAGCAGTAGCAACACCTCCAGCACCACCGTCACTGGAGGAGGCACCGTTTCAAAATATAGCTCCTCTAGAACAAGTAACACCTCAACCTCAAGCACCACCTTCAGTCATACTACATATCCTTGACGGTTGCCAAGTGAAGAGCAATAAATCTTGATGATTGTCGTTTTCTTTTCTTTCTTCTGGGGTTGTTCTCACGCTTCTTCGATAGAAGTGATGCATTCTATCGTAGAGTTGTGTCTGCTGGTATTACTATCCAGTTCACTTGTAAGGTTGTTCTTAATCTTGAAGTGAATATGTCCTTTGGTTTGAGGAAGATGCAGATTTTCTTCCTATTTATAGATGGGACCTTCAATTTTAAGGCTATAATGCCACTAATATTGAGAAGGTGTAATTCTATCCCCTTAATCTAATGATAACTCCACCCGCGTAGACGTCACAACCATGAAAGGTTATGCATGTTATGCAACACCTTTTCGAATCAGTGAGACAAATCACACAGCGAAGGGATAGGCGCAGAGACATATATTTGCCCAAAACTGTGCCTGAAAATGTGTGTTAACTCTAAGATGTGCGACTTTCGTGAGAGGATTTGATGCACTTCAGAAATCTGTATAAATACCGTCTATCATTCATTCTCTTTCGAAAAATTTCAATTAACATTCTTGCTCTCATATCGAATACTGTCACGAAATTTCAAAAGTCATAATTCGCATTTTCGCAAACTAAGAGGACCAATTTCAACCTCAATTTGAGGCGGCGACCATCGCTCGCCTTAACTCCAAGGTCGGATTTTTCTTTTTCCATGCGCGGCCAAGTTAGGAAGGAAAATGACGATTTAGTAGATGGATCTTGTTACTAAATGTCCCCAGGAGATTAGTGCTTTTTGGCTTTTTTGTGGGGGCAATTTCAGAAGGAAAAAGACAATTCAACAAATGGGTCTTGTTAACGATGGCTTGCAGAACACTTGTTAATCATACATTTTAACGATAAGTTTTAATTTTCGACACACTACGAGAGAGGCATTATATTGGAAATAACAAACTTTCTTTATTGAGGTATTTAACGAGTATCTTGGGAGGCAGTCCTTAACAGCATCCTTAATAACTAAGCATGGATGCGAAGATGCAGCTTCAAATCTAATAATAAAGTTTAGGATGCAAAATGTAGGTTTTAAAAACTCATTGATGGTATTGATGAGCTTTTCATTACCCATTCGAAGACAGGCTTTAAAAGTCATCCTTTTCTTTCTCTACGTAGACTCTCGAAAGTATTGGTGATTTTTCGTGCTCATATATATTTCCAATATTTCCTATTCAAGTTGCAAATTAAGATAAATTTCTAGAGCTTCATATTGCATCTTTGGAGTGGACCGCGTTATCAGTTTTGCAGCACATGGAACTGGAAGAGAAAATAGAAAATATATAATCATGAACCTTGCTGGTACTTATCCTTAATTCAAAGTTTGATAATCTTTTAAAAATCTCATTAATACTGCAAGGTGCCTCTTTTGAAAGTGAACCCATATCGTTTCATCTCATTTTATTTTCTTCCGCCGATTTTATCCCTATAGTTATTTGGCTTATACATTACCTAATTACTTTCTGAAAAACAAATGGTCCTGCAGGTCTACGTCTGCATCAATGTTAGTACATGACTTGGCAAAAAATACTCGTGCAAAGAGAAAGTTACTTAAATTCGCGCGAAAGTAAGAACCGAATCGACTAATTGACAAAACATAAGGACATGCAATACATCTATCACGAACTTGTAAAAATACACCGATTAATGTGAAGGAAAATTAACAACACATATCATGTAAGTATGTGCCCCGCGTAGTAAAACAATGTTCCAAATAGAAATAGGCACTCGTTTAGATATCCACGTCACTTATTTTCTTCATCAATTGTAGCCTCTCAATTGCCACAACCACCATTCCCGAATTCAACCTTGTTATCTTGAATGTTGTAAAGAATGTTCAGGTTCTGCTGTTGCACACTGCCGATAATGACCAGGTCTGGCCTTTTCCGATTCGGTGCGACGGCCAAGCAAACTTGCGCATCACTCTCTCGCCAAACTACAGCAGACGGGTCCAATCTAACGTCGGTATTCTCAAATTGTAGGACCATCTCCGGCAAGTTCACATTCTCCTGACCCCGAAGATCATAGCAGGTGTCCATCAGCTTCGTCAGAGGATCCGCGACAGGATAATTCGACATGTAATTGGCAAACTCCGTCTGAATGGCCGAATAAATCGAGGGCGGCAACCGAGTGATGGTAGTCCCCGAGTCTATGATGGTCCTAGGAGGTGGAGACTCTGAAGAGAGGCTAAATGTTTGATTCCCAAAGGCAATGCCAACTAGGTTGACATAATAATAGGATGGGTTATTTTGGTCAATTATGAGAGGTGTGGTATTCTTTGTTTGGCAGTTACGAAGGGCTTCCATCCCAAAAAGTAAGTACCCATTTGAGCTCTCACTGCCAGGGATGCAGTAGCAGAAGATATTGGAAAATTGTGATGATATGTGTGAGATTAGGGACGTGCGTCCTTGTCCTAGGCCTAATACACCGGCCGTGACGCCGAAATTGTGGCTATTGTTTTGGCTGCAACCGAAGATGAAGTTCGGGAACTGGTACTCCGGAGTGAGGGTAAGCAGATCTTGGATGTAGTAACCGCTGGAGTGCGATCCATCTGCATATTCGATCGAGTAGGGGCAATCCGATTCCGTGCATTGTGGGTCTGAGTATGTGGTGGACTTGGATGGCTCAAACATTGGGTCTTGCTGATGATAGCAATTAGGACAAGGTTCACATTGGGTCCATGTAATGTCGCTGCCCGTATCGAAGATCAGGGTCAGGTCGACTTTCGGGGTCCCGAGGCCGACTGTGACCACGAACTCGCCCGCTCCGGGAGCAGCGCCGCCGCGGATTGGCAGCCGGGCGTTCTCGCCGTGATCCCCAGTGGGTAGCGCGGGAGATTCTCCTAAGACGTTCATGGAATGGACCCGCGATTGGTCTCGGAGGAAAATGAGCCCGGAATCGCGGGATTGACGGTTTGCGGCAAGCGGTGAACAAGGTCCCTGCCTGTGTGCCAATGTCAGTCCACGTCCATTTGTGTGATCTGCGATCAATATGAATCATGATGTAAGTTATACTTATAGCGATCGAATCTCGAGACCATGTCAACCGTTACTATTCAATTATATGCATTTAGCAATGTCCAAACATGACCCAGAGTATTAAACATAGAAAATGTGACCTTTGCAAGTAGTTGCCGGCGTCAGCGAAATCGCTTCGAGATGCACCAGTTCCCTTCCCCATGCATATCTCTTCTCAACTTCGTGACTAGCGAACAGCAGGACGAGAAGAAGAAGAAGAGGATGGAGAAAAGTGTAATTGGCCATGGATGGATTATGATTTGCTCAAGGGCTCAGAGGGAACTCGAGTATTTATAAACTGACGACGACGATTGTTGGATGATCCCAACCGCGTAGGTGTGAAACGGAAGGACAGAAAAGAATGGTTAAAACAAGCCGAAAGCAAAAGGCTGGGGTCCGTTGACTTGGAACCTTCGCAAGTCAAACGTGCGCCTGTTCCTAGTCTTTCGCCATAAGAAGCCAACTGTCACCATGTCGTCAAGCCGACGTTAACAGTTAACTCACTGGTGCAAGAATTGCTGCTCCTCATTTTACGTGTACTAATCTTATGTACTTGCACGGAAAGATCTTCGAGAATGAGTTCGTCAGGTCTTTCGTCATCTGCTGCGTAACATGTATCCTCGACAAAGATTATGACATGTTGGCAGATAGAAAGGGGCGTGGCTTCAATGACAAAAACGATTTCGGCTTATGGACCCTTTGAATTTGTGTAGGATCGGACAATGTATTCCGTAGGGATAGTATTATTTGTACTCTTTACTAAATTTTATTTACTCTTTTTTTTACTGACGCTTTAAATTTACCACTTATGACATGAAATTACCAACCTTTTTTTGTGTGAATTACCAGATTTTCTTTGATTAATTCACCAACTCCTTTCGAGTGACCGACTCGTATTTGAGTGTATCGACATTTGTTTGGTGTTTTTAATTCACCATATTGAGTTACCATTTTCGTTTGCCTTACTTACCAACCATTTTCTACCATTCAATTACCACCTAGTTTTACGTTATCAACTCTTATTTGAGTTAGTCCAATTTATTTGTCTTTTTTAAATTATCAATTTATCTTATTTCTGACAAAAACAAAAACTTTTCCTATTATCCATGAACTTTTATTTAACTTTCTTACCAACACTTTAAATTTTCCAACTATTATATGAAATTACTTATCTTGAATTGGTGACTTTCCCACTTTATACCAATTAAATAACCCAACAGAAAAGTTGATAACTAACTCAAATAAGTGTTGGTAACCCATAACTAATTAATAACTTAATTGTAGAAAATTTAATAAATCATGTAAATTAAAGTTAGTAATTTCATATTAGAGTTGGTAAATATAATGCGTACTAATAGTGGCAAATAAAAGTTAGTATTGGAAGAAAAATAAATTGGGTAAGTAACTCAAATGAGAGTTGGTAACACAAAACTAGTTAGTAACTGATTGGAAAAAAGTTAGTAAATCGCTCCAATTAAAGTTGACAATTTTTAGGATTAATATCATGAAGAACATCGAATTGGTACACCTGTGAAAATTTATCCCAAATCTAATTTTTTTACCACAAAAAACCTCAAACTAGTACACATGTAACAAATTCACCCCAAAATAATTTTTTGACCACCAAAAACTCCAAATTAGTACACTCGTGACAAATTTACCTTCCGTTAGTTTCTGTTAAATTGATTAATATCACGAAAAGCTATAAACCGATACACCTGTGACATATGGAGGGTAAAACCTCAAATTGGTACACCTATCAATAGACACGTGTCATTCAACTCAACAATTTGAAAATAAAATTTAATAAAAACTAACGGAAGGTAACTCAAATAATTAGACTTTAGTTAGTAATTCAAATGAGAATTGATAACCAAAAATTAGTTGGTAATTCAATCTGACAAAAGTTGGTAACAAACTCTAATTAGGTTGATAATTTCATATAAGTATTAATAAACACAACATGTTTGGTAAGTCATGCAAATAAAAGTTGACAGATTAAGTGAAAAAATTGCTTATTTGCAAACTGATAAAAAAAAGTTTATAAACTTTTGGCAAGTTCCCAACAAAAAAAGTCACAAATCCTCTGTCAACCAACAATTCTTTTACACTAACCAATACTTATTGAAATTTACCAGCATGCAAAGGAGATTCGTATTTTTTGACACGAAAACTGCAGTTTACGTGAATTAAACAGGATCGGTATAAAACATTAACGAAAAACGAGTATGGTAAAAGTTAGACGCGAAAGAAATTCTACGAGAATTTCAATTATCTTCGCATCATTTGGGCCAAAAAATTTCACTCTGCGAACCATGGAAGATTAAGATGGTCAAGGGAACCAAAATGGGATTGACCGATGACCGTGCAAGTTAAGGCAAAAAAAGGAAAAGATATCGTGTTTCACATGCACCTGGCGTATGTTCACGTGAATCCACTCCATTTCAGGCATCAATCAGACGCCACGAAGTGGGCTCCTACGGTTCCGGCGTGCACAGGGACTTTCCCCGCCCAAAAAAAAAACGAAAGACAGCCAAGCAAACGTAGGAGAGATGTAATGGAAGTTTGCGCTCGACTTGAGTCCCGAGTTTCACGCGTAGAATTGCTTGTCGCAGGCCATACCAACAACCAAATTCCAGAAGCTGCAACTCGACTTCTGTCCTGCAGTTCTGGTTTAATTTATCCGACACGAGTCTTTTCGAGTCAAGCTGTCAGTCCTTTAATACTAATTCTTCCCAAAGAAGTTCCTTTCGTGTCTCTTGCTCGGAAGATGATAGCCTTGCTTCGACAGGTTCCCGTGCGCTTCGGAGTCAAAGAAGCAAAGTCAATCACGCGTCATTTGATTGTTGTACTATATTAAATAAATAAAAAGTGGCCGGTCATTTGAAAAATAAACAGAAAGAGAGGTCGGCAGCTAACGAGACGCGGATGTCGCTTTTACATATCTGCGGCTTTTCTTGGTTCACTACTACTAAAAGAGAGTTTGCATGGTGAGTTCGTCCAAGTCATCATTGAGCGACTCGGGCAATGGAGATCAAGAAAACCTTTCGTCTTCTTGCACTCGCTCTCTCTCTTCTCATGATTGAAAGATCGATGGCATCCCGAACTCTGGCCGAGAATAATCCTCCTCCTGGTACTCTCTCTCTCTCTCTCTCTCTCTCTCTCTCTCTCTCTCTCTCTCTCTCTCTCTCTCTCTCTCTCTCCTTTGTCGAATCGATCCCGAGTAGTACACGACACGAGTACTCAGACACGATGAATCTGTGCTTAATGTAAGCCATGCTGACTCGTTGGTTTTGTGTGCGCGGTCGATCCGTCGCCCATGCAGACATGGACGGCAGTAGGTTCCTCCCGAGCGGGAGCGTGGCCCCCAGGGATGGCTCTCACAACGGCGACAGTTTGGACCAGGGTATGGTCCTGGTGCCTCCGCCCACGAAGAAGACCACGATGTCGCAAGCGGGTGCACCGGACAAGTCTGCAAGCGCCGTCGTGGTCTCCCCGACCGATGCTAAAGTCAATGTCTCGACCGCCGTCTCTCCTACAAGCGCCACTTCGGAAGCGAGCGTCACCAGCAGTAGCTACGCTTCAAGCACCGCCAGTGCAAGCAGCTTCAGTACCGTCAGTGAAAGCAGCAGCGCCACTTTTACTAAATTTCCTTGATGGGTGCCTAATAAAAAGCAAAGATTCTTGATGATTGTTGTTTTCTTTTCTTTCTTCTGGGGTTGTTCTCGCTCTTGTTGGATTGAAGTGATGCATTCTTTCGTTGAGTTTGTGTCAAACTGTCCAGTTCACGTGTAACGTTGTTCTTAATTTTGAAGTGAATATGTCTCTTTGTTTGATAAATTTGCCAATTTTCATTATATAGGTAAATGGGACCTTCAATTTTAAGGCTATAAAAGCAGCAATGTTGACAAGGGGTAACTCTATCCCCTTAATCTAATGATAACTCCAGCCGTTTAGGCGTTAAACCATTAAAAATTATGCACGTTATGCAACGCAGGGACAGAGTTTGGAAATATAATTATCCAAAACCGTGCCTGAAAATGTGTGTTAAACACTGAGATGTAACTATCGTGTACGGACTTGAGGCACTTTGAAAATCCGTAAACGTACTGTCTCTCGCTTATTCTCTTTCCTAAATTTTTAGATATCATTCTCGATCTCATATCAAATATCAATCACAAAGTTTTAAAAATTACAATTTGCATTTTCGCAAACGAAAACTCTATTCCGTCCTCAATTTGAAACGGGCGACCATTGCTCACCTCAGCTCTGAGGTCGGGGCGGTAATTGGACAAAGGGTAGAGAGAGCAGACGCAGTGGCTCCATGGGGGGAGGGGGGATGGATCTTTTTAGCAAGTGTCCTGTTTAGCGTATCTTTTTGGGTAGGGGGAATTGCATAAATCGGTCTTGTTAACGATTGTTTTTGGAGCACTTTTTAATTTATACTTAGGGTGCTTTTGTTTGGCAAAAATAAATGATGAGGGGATGAATCTCGTTAGCAATTATCCCGGAAGATTAGAGTTTTTTGGCGTATCTTTTGGGTGGGGGCAATTGCATAAATGGGTCTTGTTACTAATTGCTTTTGGAACGCTTTGTAATTTATACTTAGGGTGGGTTTATTTCAGGAAAAATAAATAAATTTAAAAAAATTCCTAAAAATAATCGTTTATATCGTTTGAAGCAATTAATCAGTGAAAAATGATTTCATCATCGACATCAATTTATGTTTAAATATGTTTATCAACTATGAAAATATTTTTTGTTCATTTATTTTTGTAAGCGATACAAGTGATCATTTAAAAAAAATGGTTTTCAAATAATTCATTTTGCGCCAAACAAATGGCGAATGAGGAAAAAATTTTCATTTCTGATGTACTCATCACGCACTGTACGAGGAAGGCACTGTATTGGAAAGGATAAATTTTATTTAATTCGGTATTTAACAAGTATTTCGCATACTACACATCCTTGACGATTGCCAAGTGGAAAGCAATAAATCTTGATGATAGTCGTTTTCTTTTCTTTCTTCCGGGGTTGTTCTCACGCTTGTTCGATAGAAGTGAAGCATTCTATCGTAGAGTTGTGTCTGTTGGTATTACTATCCAGTTCACTTGTAAGGTTGTTCTTAATCTTGAAGTGAATATGTCCTTTGGTTTGAGGAAGATTCAGATTTTCTTCCTATTTATAGATGGGACCTTCAATTTTAAGGCTATAAAGCCACTAATGTTGAGAAGGTGTAATTCTATCCCCTTAATCTAATGATAACTCCACCCGCGTAGACGTCACAACCATGAAAGGTTATGCATGTTATGCAACACCTTTTCGAATCAGTGAGACAAATCGCACAGCGAAGGGATAGGCGCGGAGACATATAATTGCCCAAAACTGTGCCTGAAAATGTGTGTTAACTCTAAGATGTGCGACTTTCGTGAGAGGATTTGATGCACTTTAGAAATCTGTATAAATACCGTATTTCATTCATTCTCTTTCGAAAAATTTCAATTAACATTCTCGCTCTCGTATCGAATACTGTCACGAAATTTCAAAAGTCATAATTCGCATTTTCGCAAACTAAGAGGACCAATTTCAACCTCAATTTGAGGCGGCGACCATCGCTTGCCTTAACTCCAAGGTCGGATTTTTCTTTTTCCATGCGCGGCCAAGTTAGGAAGGAAAATGACGATTTAGTAGATGGATCTTGTTACTAAATGTCCCCAGGAGATTAGTGCTTTTTGGCTTTTTTGTGGGGGCAATTTCAGAAGGAAACAGACAATTCAACAAATGGGTCTTGTTAACGATGTCTTGCAGAACACTTGTTAATCATACATTTTAAGGAGAAGTTTTAATTTTCGACACACCACGAGAGAGGCATTATATTGGAAATAACAAACTTTTCTTTATTGAGGTATTTAACGAGTATCTTGGGAGGCAGTCCTTAACAGCATCCTTAATAACTAAGCATGGCTGCGAAGATGCAGCTTCAAATCTAATAATAAAGTTTAGGATGCAAAATGTAGGTTTTAAAAACTCATTGATGGTATTGATGAGCTTTTCATTACCCATTCGAAGACAGGCTTTAAAAGTCATCCTTTTCTTTCTCTACGTAAACTCTCGAAAGTATTGGTGATTTTTCGTGCTCATATATATTTCCAATATTTCCTATTCAAGTTGCAAATTAAGATTAATTTCTAGAGCTTCATATTGCATCTTTGGAGTGGACCGCTTATCAGTTTTGCAACACATGAAACTGGAAGAGAAAATAGAAAATATATAATCATGAACCTTGCCGGTAGTTATCCTTAATTCAAAGTTTGGTAATCTTTTAAAAATCTCATTAATACCGCAAGGTGCCTCTTTTGAAAGTGAACCCATATCGTTTCATCTCATTTCATCTTCTTCCGCCGATTTTATCTCTATAGTTATTTGGCTTATACATTACCTAATTACTTTCTGAAAAACAAATGGTCCTGCAGGTCTACGTCTGCATCAATGTTAGTACATGATTGGCAAAAAATACTCGTGCAAAGAGAAAGTTACTTAAATTTGCATTAAATTAAGAACCGAATCGACTAATTGACAAAACATAAGGGCAGTCTATACAGCTATCACGATCTTATAAAAGTACACCGATTAATGTGAAGGAAAATTAACAACACATATCATATAAGTATGTACCCCGCGTAGTAAAACAATGTTCCAAATAGAAACGGTCACTCGTTTAGATATCCACGTCACTTATTTTCTTCATCAATTGTAGCCTCTCAATTGCCACAACCACCGTTCCCGAATTCAACCATGTTATCTTGAATGTTGTAAAGTATGTTCAGGTTCTGCTGCTGCACACTGCCGATAATGACCAAGTCTGGCCTTTTCCGATTCGGCGCGACGGCCAAGCAAACTTGCGCATCACTCTCTCGCCAAACTACAGCAGACGGGTCCAATCTAACGTCGGTATTCTCAAATTGTAGGACCATCTCCGGCAAGTTCACATTTTCCTGACCCCGAAGATCATAGCAGGTGTCCATCAGCTTCGTCAGAGGATCCGCGACAGGATAATTCGACATGTAATTGGCAAACTCCGTCTGAATGGCCGAATAAATCGAGGGCGGCAACCGAGTGATGGTAGTCCCCGAGTCTATGATGGTCCTAGGAGGTGGAGACTCTGAAGAGAGGCTAAATGTTTGATTCCCAAAGGCAATACCCACTAGGTTGACATAATAATAGGATGGGTTATTTTGGTCAATTATGAGAGGTGTGGTGTTCTTTGTTTGGCAGTTACTAAGGGCTTCCATCCCAAAAAGTAAGTACCCATTTGAGCTCTCACTGCCAGGGATGCAGTAGCAGAAGATTTTGGAAAATTCTGATGATATGTGTGAGATTAGGGACGTGCGTCCTTGTCCTAGGCCTAATACACCGGCCGTGACGCCGAAATCGTGGCTATTGTTTTGGCCGCAACCAAAGATGAACTTCGGGAACTGGTACTCCGGAGTAAGGGTAAGCAGATCTTGGACGTAGTAACCGTTGGAGTGCGATCCGTCTGCATATTCGATCGAGTAGGGGCATTCCGATTCCGTGCATTGTGGGTCTGAGTATGTGGTGGACTTGGATGGCTCAAACATTGGGTCTTGCTGATGATAGCAATTAGAACAAGGTTGACATTGGGTCCATGTAATGTCGCTTCCCGTATCGAAGATCAGGGTCAGGTCGACTTTCGGGGTCCCGAGGCCGACTGTGACCACGAACTCGCCCGCTCTGGGAGCAACGCCACCCCGGATCGGCAGCCGGGCGTTCTCGCCGTGATCCCAAGTGGGCAGCGCGGGAGATTCTCTTAGGACGTTCATGGAATGGACCCGCGATTGGTCTCGGAGGAAAATGAGCCTGGAATCGCGGGATTGACGGTTTGCGGCAAGCGGTGAACAGGGTCCCTGCCTATGTGCCAATGTCAGTCCAAGCCGTTTTGCTTGACCTGCGATCAATATGAATCATGATGTAAGTTCTACTTACAACGGTCGAATCTCGAGACCATGTCAACCGTTACTATTCAATAATATGCATTTAGCATTGTCAAAACACGACCCAGAATATTAAACTTAGAAAATGAGACCTTTGCAAGTAGTTGCCGGCGTCAGCGAGTTCGCTTCACGATGCACCAGTTCCCTTCCCCATGCACGTCTCTTTTCAACTTCGTGACTAGCGAACAGCAGGACGAGAAGAAGAAGAAGAGGGTGGAGAAAAGTGTAATTGGCCATGGATGGATTGTGATTTGCTCAAGGGCTCAGAGGGAACTCGATTATTTATAAACTGACGACGACGATTGTTGGATGATCCCAACCGCGTAGGTGTGAAACGGAAGGACAGAAAAGAACGGTTAAAACAAGCCAAAAGCAAAAGACTGTGGTCCGTTGACTCGGAACCTTCGCAAGTAAAACGTGTGGACTGGTCCAAGTCTTTCGTCATGAGAAGCCAACTGTCACCGTGTCGTCAAGCCGACGTTAGACTCAGACACTTAACTCACTGGTGCGATAATTGCTGCTGCTCATTTTACATGTTCTAATCTTATGTATTTGCACGGAAAAATCTTGCAGAATTAGTTCATCAGTTCTTTCGTCATCTGCTGAATAACATGTATTCTCGACGAAGATTATGACATGTTGGTAGATAGAAAGGAGTGCGGCTTGAATGACAAAAACGATTTCGGTTTATGGACCCTTTGAATTTGCGTAGGTTCGGACAATGTATTCCGTAGGGATAATATTAGTTGTTTTCTTTACTAAATTTTATTTACTTTTTTTACTGATGCTTTAAATTTACCACTTATGACTTGAAATTACCAACCTTTT